AACACTATAAACATTCCACCACATAAGAGAACGCAGAAAATGAGCCATTGCCTTGTACAGCGGAAGGCAATAATGAAAAGGAAGCCTTAATTGCTTCTTATCTCTGGTGGTACAGAAGTTTGAAGCAGCCACTTTGCTTCTTTCAGGTGGTTTATAAATTTAAGAAATCACTCAATATTTCAGGCATCAGGCTCAGTATATAACTTTTTACATACAAAAGATTGTTTCCTTCATTGGTGAGCCAAATGCTTTTTCCATATGTAAGATCAATACCAGGCACTCATTTTATATCGTATGTTGTAGATTTTCAGCTAGAGACAAGATCCATAAATCCTGATAAATTCTTGCATTGTTCAAAAGTAAATCTGCAGGTTGAATAAAGTATAAAGAGTTAGATACTCACTCACCACTGGCTTTGTGATAACTGTTCTCCTGCCAGAGTTGATGATAGTTTGAGTACTGATTGACTCTATGGTAGTGCAAAACATGTCAGAGAGTTTTGTTGAAAAAGCCCACCCAAAATATCTTGCGGTCAGTTATAAATAAAACCTCATCTTCCCCTCATGTTCACAGTCAACACCATAGTGGCTCAGAACTTTTATAGGTTCCACTACACCATGGCAGTTCAGGTGCAAAAATGCAGACAGGAGAAAAGTCAGTGACAAATTTGACTCAAAGATCTGAAAATAAAAGCTCAGAATTCTCCTCTAGTTAACAGCAAGGTCAAGAGAGGGAGTTGTTTGTTGTGTTTTGTGTAGACAGGCACTGATCACTAGAATTTCCCAAATGTGTTTGCTTTGTTCAGAAAGAGGAAATATATAGAAGCTGTTGTGGCACAGAAATTTCCTTTATTGGCCACTTCTGAAAAAAAACCCAAACCCTTTAATGGATCAGAGTATTTGGGCCACAATTTGGCAGTTCACTGAAAGTAACTACCATCTAACAGGAATTTGGTGACAGCAGCAAATTTGAAATCTACCACTGACACAGAGGCAGCGCTATTTTGGTAAGAACATAGTATTTGAATTCAGTATGTTATTCTGCCTGCTCTTTGGACAACAGTTGTAAGTGGAACATAAAGCACTCTGAGGTGTAATAATCATCAAAAATACTGGGAGAAACAGAAATTGGCTTTGGTACTTATTATTTCCTCTTTTTCCCTTTTAGTCTAATATTCGCTGCTTTTAAACAGGATGTTCAGAAGGATCACGAATCTTCAAAGAGACTGACATTAGAGAGGGATATTCCATATAAACCATATCACATATATTACATAATATATACAAATATTCCTAGTACATAAAACATTCACATACAAACTCACTGGATGAAATCTATCTCCCAGTGTGAAATCAATAATCATGTTCTCATTAAATATCACAGAGCCAGGGTCTTACACTCTCTTTCCAGACACTGGTGACAGAGAAATAGACAGGCAGAGAAAGAGGCTTGGAAGTTTCTGGCAGATGTGGTATATGGACTGACTAAATTATGGTACGTCTACACTATATAATGGAGTGAAATGGCCCTACTGTGAGATGGTAGCCCAGCTGCGTTATTTCTAGGGCTTGAGTTAGTCATCTCCATACAGAACTACTGTGCTGCACAGGTAAATCAGTTCCCTCCCAGAGGAACAGGGCTGGTTTTGCTGCATGCCTTCACGTAGCGTAGGTATGTTTGGAGCAAACACACCCTTCTTTTTCTGTCTCTTCTGACAAAAATGAAGCACAGAATTCTCTGCATTAGTCACAGTGTCAGAGACTGTGATATTGTCACTCTTTCGTTTGCTGCAGCAGAAAAAGGGACTATGGTTTGAATCATATGCAAACATTTCTGCAATGTCTTTCGCAAAGTACATAAAAAAGACAAAGTGTGCTAACAGGGGAGCACTCCCCATCCTTTACGTCCACAACTATGCACAAAGGAAAAATAAAATGCACAGTAACATTCCTGAAAAGTTTGATTTGAAGGATGCTCTTCTGAAAAATGAAATATGCATTTAGGAAGCTGACTGCACAAGTTGCTTTCTCTAAATATATATAACTTTCCATGGGGAATACTAAGGCAACCGAGGATGGTGAGAAGAACAAAATCTCCCAACCAGTCCTTACAAAGCTACACCTTGAAATTTCACACTCAATTCAAAAGACACCCTAGATCTCAATGGTTAAAACTTCCAGAAAAGAGAATTTCTTTTCTTGTATTTTCCAAGGAAGGAATAGTGAAAGCTACATGATGATCTGAGAGCAGTCACCTGTAAATGTATAATGGTAAATAAGTAACAGATGTACTGGAAATTCAGCCCAGTTAATAAAAAATAAAATAAATCTTGATGGGAACAATGAATAATTCACAGGCCACACCACTAGAATGACCACAGGCAGGTCTGTGCAGAGTCCAGGCTGCACTGTACAAATAATTTACAACTCAGAAAAAGTGAACACTGCATAACACAACTGCTGATTGCAAGAAATCTCATCGAGCCAAGTCAACAGCTCTGCAAACATCAATGCACTCTAGGCACTGGCATGGCAATGACTTCAAAAGGAGCTAAAACCTGATCCTTTGTGCATAACTCTAGCAAGGCCAAGTCTTCATTACCTTTTGCAATATTTACTTTAAGAGATAAATTATGATCTTGACAGTCTACTGTGCAGAAAGAGGAAAAATCCCCAAATGGTGCTACAGAGCTAAATTGTTCTGAGGGTTAGACAGGGTAAAACGTATACATAAGGGATATGTTACCATTTTACCTGGGGAACCTCAGATAGCCAATGATATAAACACTGCCTGAACAACAAGACTTGCTACTCCCAAGAATAGCAGTAATTCTATCACAAGGGACACTCTAAAAAACCAACATCCCATTGCAATGCAGAGGGTAACTGAACATTGGTAGCAAGTTTAATTAGTAGTTGGAGGGTGTGTTTCCTATGGTGTTTTAAATGAATATTGCTCATTAAATTTGGCTGGGAATGGATAAGACTGTATGAGGAACTGTTCCTCGAAATTGCTTAATTTCACAGACAGGCTATCAGGAAAGATGCATACAGCAGCCCTGACTTTATTCTACAGAGGTTACAAAAAAGCCTTTCATGAAGCAAGGGTCTGCAGTTATTCCTGAATAACACATGGCCACTCTGCTCTCCCAAAAGGAGGTTCTTTCTCTGCACAGATCCTCCATCATCCCTAATTCTGCTTGATCTTCTGCAGTTGTGAAAATCTCAGAGATGCAAATCCCTGTTCAGCAGGAATAAAAGGAGAAGACACTTTAACCTTGCTAAGGCTTCAGGTACCAAACTTGTAGCTGGAAAGAGCTATTTGCTAAATACTAATTTTCAAGCAGCTTAAAAATCTAGAATGAAATTACCACCTTCTACATTCAGGTTTTCTGGAACATACAGTGACAACCCATATTCTGAGTCCAGCCCGGAATTTCAAAGGGTTGTGAGACCAGCCAATGCTGTCCTCTGATTCCCAGTTATAGCTAAGATTTCTCATCTTCACCAAAAATTCAAACCACGTACACTTCATATGCCAGTGTTTTGATAATGTGCTCAGCAAAGAAAAGCACACAGGGCTGCTTCAAAGTCAGCCAAAGTCCATGAAAGACTCCAGTTCACTTGAACTGGTTTTGGATTAGAACTGCAAGCCAAATATTTGCACCGATGCAAGAACTTAATGTAAATAGCAGCATCCACTGTGAAAATACCATACAAGTACTGGTTAGGTAGAATTCTTCAATAAACTTATTCACAATGCTTAAAAGCAAAAAAACCCCAGCATTAGTCCAATCACAAAACCAGGTTTCTTAAGAACATATTAATTCTCTGTACAGGTACAGGAATGTATTTATCAACAGGATAGACAGGGTGTGTAAGAAAGCAGTGACACCAGTATTTAAAAACGATGTGTTCTTTTCAGGGGGAGATGTCCAGCTGCTAAGCAGTACATGCTGCTTTCACTGTTATTTCTTATCTTGTATGAGGCAAAAAATGGTGGCGGGACCTGGTTTGTTTTCTGCCAGCTGGAATACAGTAAGCAGACACTTGTGCATATGAAGAAGGCAGCATGTAACAGTCCCTGTAATTGATGTGTCCATCTGTTAGCTCGCTCTTTGGATGGACGTAACGTAGTGGCTGCCCATCACTAAAGGACAAAGCTCAACGTGTCTCTTGCTTACCCAAATAATTACGAGGTAGTTTACATTTGCCTCTTTGTTTCACTGGAATAGGCCAAAAGAAGTTTCATTTTTTTAAGCTCAGCTCAGGAAAACAAAAACATGTGAATCCAAGGTAGTTCAACTAAAGTAATCCCTTTGATAACAAACCTGAGAAAATGCTGCTTGTAGCAAGTGGCCTCAACACTGGGAGAGGATTCTTCATGGCAAGTTTCACCTACTGGGTGGATATTTATTTTCCTTTAGATTAAAACATTTGCAGGTACAGAAAGAAACAAGATTTATATATGGCATAACTGAGCCAAGGATCCAGATGACTTAATGAATATCTCTGAACCACTTTTAACTGCACCAGAGTACACAGCATTTGTGGAAGCACCATGCATTGAACAGCACCAGAAGTTTACAGCGACATTCAAACATTAATCTTTCTTTTGAAGATAAACTGATTTTTGTACAGGCTTATAAACCACTCAAGTTTAAATTAATTTCTATTTGAGATCAGAAAGTGGGACTTATTTGGGACTTACAGGCTGCATGCCAAGACTTTATACAGAGACGAGTTTCATTCATTTACACTGGAAGAAACAACATAATAAAAATAAGCAGGTAGATAGATCTGTTCATTCAGATATTTCACATGCTCATTATTGTCTACACACCATTGAAAGATGTCTGCCATATGACTACCTGCTAGCTGGGATTTGTTTATTTCTGATATCAGTGACTCAAGCAGATACATATTGCTTCTTCCTTAGTGTTTTTGGATGCTGGTTCACAGACTGTTCTTTTATTTAATTCTCTTTTTGTTTTGTGTCAGGGCGAGTGTTCCCAGAAGTGCTATTACATCTTCGTCATAGAGACCATCTGTGTGGCTTGGTTTTCCCTGGAGTTCTGCCTCCGATTCATTCAGGCAAGGAGCAAATGTCAGTTCTTCAAAGGACCCCTAAATATAATTGACTTTGTGGCTATTTCGCCCTATTACGTTTCCCTCATCTTCTCAGAAGATGACTCAAATGAGGAGGATGACAGGCCAAGCAGCAACACATATTTGGAGAAGGTTGGTTTGGTGCTACGGGTTTTACGTGCCTTGAGGATCTTGTATGTAATGCGCCTTGCCCGACATTCCTTGGGCTTGCAGACTTTGGGCCTCACAGTTCGGAGATGCACACGGGAATTTGGCCTGCTTTTACTCTTCTTGTGTGTGGCTGTCACTCTGTTTTCTCCTTTGGTCTATCTTGCCGAGAATGAATCTGGGAAGGTGCTTGAATTTACAAGCATACCTGCTTCTTACTGGTGGGCTATCATTTCAATGACCACTGTGGGGTACGGAGATATGGTACCACGGAGCGTCCCAGGCCAGATGGTGGCTCTCAGCAGCATCCTCAGTGGGATTCTCATCATGTCTTTTCCTGCAACATCAATATTCCACACTTTCTCCCATTCCTACTCGGAGTTGAGAAAGGAACATGAACGACTACAATCTCGGCTAAACAGAGTAAAAAATGCCAATCAGTCTGGTGAAAGTGACACCTTCAATGAGACAGACAGCTTGATCCTGGAGGATCAAGCATCACCAATCAAATACATTTACACAGGGAACTAAGCCTCGTTGTAAAGCATTCCCAAGAACAGGAATAGAAATATACACTTATGTACGTCAACATAACACACAAAGCCAAGCAACAACATAGGTTATGACGCTATTCTTTTCTGCCAGCATAGGTATAATAAGCAGTCAAGCCAACACAGCAAGCTCCAACACATAATGGAACTAGAGGTTTTGAGAATGTCAAAAGTCAGAGTTTATTCAATAATATATATTAATTCTTCTCTATGACTAATAAGAATAAACTTTGTCTCTGCCAGTCATGTATCTTGCTGAATACCTAATATTGAACAAGTAACAAACAAAACAGCTTCTTGTTATTTTATTTGCCTTTGAGTTCCCAATGCTCTTGCAATTAATATCTTCAGCCAAGCATTAGGATGCATTCTTTCAGGGCTATGCACCAGTGTTGTTTATACAATGCTCATCTACCAGATACAGAAGAAGCCTCGATACAAATCTGAATTCTGTATCTAAAGCCACTAATAAGCTTAAAATAAAAGCACTGTATGTGAAAGCTTTCGAAGTTCGCCTGTAGCCAGACAATCAATCTATAAATAACAAATTGCACTGCTATTGTATAAAACATATAGTCTTTACAAGAGAATTTGCTTGAAACGCAGTTGCGGTCTGCAAACTGTAAACATTTCATACTAGATAGCAAAAATTTTCAAACTTCTTTTTCATATACTTATTTAAAATAATAATGAGGAATAAAAAAACCCTAAGCTTATTGACCATACTAAAAAGAGCTGGTGTTATCTTTTTCACTGAATGGTGATGGCTCCTCTGGAAGAAAGATGAAAAATTATTGAAAGTTAGTTATTGAAAATGACATGATAGCTCAGGAGTATCCAAAGGTATAAATAGTAAAGAATGAGGTGAATGATTGCCAAAGAGGCAGTGGGAGAAATTTCCTAATGCAAATGTTGGGATATCCAAGTATAGCCAGAAGAAAGTGATAGGACTACACAGAAGTCAACAATGCTACTTCATGGGATAGTCTAGATGATCTTTTACAATTTCTTTTACCTTTACCTGTGAATGCAGTTAGTGAAAACCAACACCAAGACATGAAGGCCAGCTCTGTGCAAACCCCTGTGTGTTGAGGGCCTGCGTCAGCTCACGTCAGGTCCTCAGTTTGTAAGCAGTCCTGCTGCTACCCACAGAACTTTGACATGCTCAACGTTGGGCATGTATTTAAGTACTGAGATGAATCAAGGCCTAAATTATTTTTTAATCAGATTTTCAGCTTTCATTATTCCATTTCTTAAATCTTACCAAGGACCCCATGACCTTGTGATGGAGCAAAGCTCCGTGAAGGGACCATTCAGTTCCAGTTTTCAGCAGGCACCATTCTTGCCCAGTACGGTGCAGTTTGGAGCCCAGGGGGTACTTTCAGGCGTCGTGACCCGTCTCCCACATGGACTTACAAACACAGTCACTTGCAGAGTTATGCAACTTCATGCAGGCATTCGGGAGTTTCGGTTTTTAGATACTATCCTCACTGCGCTGCATAGCTTAAGTACAGAAAAGCACAGTTGTTGGCACAGTTTGGATCACGTGACCCAAATTAATCTCTTGGATTTATCTTGCTATTGACTCTATGATTTAAACCAGAGAAACTGTAGCGGATTATAGATGGGATGTTCCAACATAACCGGAAGAAGTCGACACTAGATGACAGGCATTTATATTTGCCACATAAAGGGTGGAATTTCTGCTGGTTTATGCGTAGGTCTATCTGATTTTTTATTTTCATTTTTCACAATTAGCATTTATTTTTTGCCAGCAATTCTCTACAGTAGGACTACTTAGATGGTACACCAGACAAAATCCAACCCCAAACTCGACCATGACCCAGACCTCTCCATGGTCCTACGCATGGTAATGCCACCTGCATTTCTGTGGGAGAGTCTGTATTTCTTTACAGTTATTCCAGTTTCTTAGGAAAAACAATTGCACACTGCCACAATACCCAGCACAGTCCACTTCTGCCCCTCTGGCCTGGCAGAGCCAAAGACAGTGCTTGCTCCCTGCTGACTGATGCCTGTTAGAACACGTGTCCTGATGCAGAAAAGCCACATCTTTTAGAAGATATTTCTCCCCACAGACACACACTTTGGAAATACAAACAATTAGGTAGTGCAACTGATTTGTTGCTTCTAATTAACAGCCTTCTTGCTAGTTCAGGAGTTAGTTAACAGGGTCCCACAGAAAATTAGCCCAGCCACATTGTTCTAAACATGTAGATAGCTGGAAAAATATTGCAGCTTTTACTGCCCAAGTACTTATAACACCAACAGGTTCTGTGATGTAGGCAGGGTTGTGGATATAACATGCACCCAAATTCACAGCAGTCCAGACCTTGACTCACTCAAGCATTTAAGTTTGTGTAAGTTCTTCCAAAACACAATGCAAGAATGTGCTGAAACACGGAGGTAAAGCAAACAAACAAAAAAATCACCAATGTTCAAGAGCGAGGTAAGTGCTTGTACTTTCAGCAGAATCAGGACCATAACATACATTTCTGTTTCTAACTTCATCTCCTCCTATAGCTGGGTCTGGGCTGCACCAGCTTTCATAGAAAATGTCCTTCATGATTCATTGTGTTACTAGGGAGGGAGAAAATATGTTGAGAGGAACATTTAGTTCCTGTGTAACTCAACTGAGTAACAAATTCAGAACACTCAGTTACAATTAGCAGATATTGTTGTTGCCAAGATCATATCATTTCATAACTAGACTTAATTAAAAGAGCAGTTTAGGGGCCTGGCATCCAGCTTCTCTTAATTCAAAGCCTTTTCCCTGAATCTAAATCCTGGAAGCAGCAAAGGAACAGCACCCATTATCCAGAGAAAACGATGTTGTTCAGCCCTCACCAAGGCATTACATCTCTTTTTAAGCTTCTAATTGCTACTCTGATATAGCAACAACTCCTACTGTATAATGAAGGGACCCACAAAACTCCACACCATGCTGTTTTGTTTGGGGATGGTGATACATATCCTGCTCTGCAAACCAGCTACGGACACCAGCCAGTGTGACAGCGTCACATGAAAACGCAATACAGGACCCTTCCAATTACTGGTCTGACTTGGAACCAAAACACAGTGAATGGGTTTTGATCACAGGCTAAATGCAAATTTTCTATGACGTTGAAATTGCACTGAAGGGCTAAGACCTTTGCTTTGACCTAACTCTCATTTCTTCAGAGATTCTGCAGGTTGTTTCAAATTCTCATGGCAGCCCTTTTACCTCCTGGCTATTCTCCAGCTGCTTCTCCTCTTTGATTTTCATCAGTTCCTCTGGTGGAGAAGCATCACAAAGACAGACATACTATTATTTCAGTAATGAACTCCTATTAGTTTCATAGGTTCAGTATTTTATTATTTCAACATACTGTTAGGTCTCCTGAAACTTGCCTTTCGTGTGTCTTTGGCAATCTGAAGTTTCCATCCAGTCATTAGTATTCATATATAATTAAAGTTACCAGGTTTATTATTTAAGTCACATAAATTCATTTGAGGGAAAAGTACATTATTTTAGGGGTAAATTGCAAAACAACTCACTAAGCTTACTGGATATACTATGCAAAAATTATAGCAGAATTATTTAAAACTTTTATTGGTCAATATTTTTATTTCAAACATACCCAAATAGTATTCTGCAGTTATTTTGAACAATTAAGCACATCTGCTGATAGAAATTACACTCAGCATGCCCCCTCTGATTTTATTCCTAATGAAAGATTTTTTCCCTTTTTTTTTTTTGTTCAGGAAATTATTTTAATACATTGCAGTGATCTATAAATAATGATGAAAACCTGGAAGGTCAAGGAAATGAAAAGTACAGCACATTCCCTGAAGGAGCATTAGAAAGTTTTTACTTCTACAAGTAATAAATTATTAGCCACATGTTAAAGTTAAAACTGATAAAAGGCTGATATAACGCTCACTTTTCCTAAATGGAAACTGGTTTCAGCATGGTAAATAGCTAGATATTCTAGCACATTTTACTGAAAGCGTTAAATTCCTTCCTGCGAACTATTTTGCTTCTGTAGCAATGGCATGGCACAATACCTGGCAAAGCCCTAAGAAACAGGACAAGGTTTGAATATATCAGGTGCTCACAGTGTGCACACTGGATTCTCTGCTGGCCTCTGATGTGGGGCATTCAACTGGATTTTCCCAGCAGGTGAAGCACAGAGACTGAGCTGAATACTCCTCTTTCCTTGCAGGACACCAGCATTCAGCTCAACCGAGGTCTGCAGAACTCCCCGACTAGTTTGGGCAAACTGATTGTTGCATGTGGGGTGCAGATCTTATTAGGAAGCTTCAGTTCTTAATTTGCAATATTAGGATGAAACCTAATACTCTACTTTTTTTTTTTCTGGATGACTAAAATGATACTCATAATGAAAAGATGATGAAGAGAAAGAACTAAGGCATTTCCCTTCCCCCCTGTGCTCCTGTCTGTACCATTTTACTTCTTATAGAAGCTAGTACTCAAAAACTTATTTTCCCCAAAGTTTAATGTTCTTGTAGTTCCTTTAAGCCAGTATCTGATCTCTGTGAAAAGCTCACACAGAGGGGGAAAAAAGCTAACCCAAAGCTACTTCACTATAAGAGAGATCTGCATTCAGAATAGTACTAAGGAAACTCATGTAAAAATCCAGGCCTGGATCATCAGCACCAAGTAGAAGTGCTTAAGGAACACCTTAGCTGAGTATTACAGTAGATTCAGCAAGAGGGATAAAAATCCAACTCAAATTTCATTATTTCCATACTTGATTCCTGCCATAACTACACCAGTTATAAAAATCACGCATATGTCTAAAAGGAAAGGGCTGTAGAAGACTCTTCAGCTGTTTCTCTTCTGAAAGTTATAGTCTGTTATATCACCAGTAATAAGTACCATAACTAAGTAATAAAACATAATCATCCCGAAACAACACTTAAAATTTAAAATCTTAAATGAAAAGGTCTACTGCTTCA